CATGGTACTTCATGCTCAGTGCACAGGAGGAGGAAGCAGGGCCGTCACAAGAGACAGAGATTAAGGAGGAGACAGGAGAAGGGCTATCCCAAGAGTCAGAGGATGGTGTAGTAGTGACCACTCAATCTTTATCCCTGAGGGAGCTATAGGATATCTGTAGAGACTTCAGCCGTTGTCCAGGTGAACATCTTATCACCTGACTGCTCTGCTGATGGAATAACGGGGCCAGGAGCATGGAGTCAGACAGCAAAGAAGCCAAGCAGTTGGGGTCACTTGCTGGAGAAGGGAGTACTCTTTTTTGCTCAGGCACATAGTTACAGAAGACACTCTTACAAAGCCATGTTTAATCACTAAAACAAGAAGATAAAAACCCCAAAAGCAGCTCCTTCAACTGAAGAGGAATAGTGTTAGCAGAGTGTGAACAGTCAACTGCAAGGGTGTACATGTCAAGGGGGACTGCAGGGATGGCCTCTGCGGGAGAAGGCCAGGGGCTCCCCTGTGTCAGAAGTGGCTGTAGCCTGCTCAGATACACTCACTGGAGGACACAGCTGAGCACATCCATGTGTAGCACCTCTCTGAACACATATTTAAGAGCAAACTACACCCAGGGAGAAAGGAAAGGGGAACAAAAAGCAAGAAAACCAGATGGCAAGGCCAGAAGAGGAGCAACTCCAGGGCAGAGAACATAGGCACACTGCAGCCCATGGAGGACCACATGTCAGAGAAGAGGGACATTTCCTGAAGGAATCATGTCCCACGGTGGACCCACACTGCAGCAGATTTTTTCCAGAGGACTGCCACCTATAGAGAAGACCTGTGCTGGAGCAGGGAAAAAGTGTGAGGAGGAAGGAGTGGCAGTGATGCATTTTGGACTGACTGCAATCCCCCTCCTCACCCCACCACTCTTAGGGGCCAGCAAGCAGCAGGTAGAGGGGTCTGCAGTGAAAGAGTGAAGTTGAGCTTGGGAACTGGGGCAAGAAAGCTGGTTTAGTGTTTGACTTTGTTTCCTATTAACTGCATCTATTTTAAATCAGCAACAAACTGATCTTCCTCAAGTCAAGAATGTTCTGCCATGACAAAAACCAGTAAGCTGTCTCCCTGATGTTCTTTTAACCCATGAAGTTTCTCATCCTATTTTTCCCCCCTAGTCCTGTTGGATGGGTGGTGAGCAGCTGGGTGGGAGGATAGCCCACCACAATTCTGTATTATTTAATTCAATAAAAATCTCCTCCTCCAAAAGGCTAGCAATTAAGAGGAATATAAATTACAAGTATTTCTTTTATATTAGAAGTACTTCATCATGAGCGTGCTGTAAACCCCATAAAACTTAATTGATAAATTTGACTTAAAAAGAGTTGCAAGTCTACCAGAGCAAAGCAAATTAAAACCTCCAAGTTTTTAGAAGCTGTTGTTACTTTAATTTCTGGGAAAACAAGTTATAACAAGCTTGTGACCCCCTTTAAAATATATTTACTCATGAAGTATCAGTCACATGAGACCCAAAGTAAAATTTAGGTTTGAATTTGTTAACCACTTGCAGCTAAAAATAAATGCTTTAAAGTTAGTTCACAGAAGAAAGTGGCAAATAACCTAAACAAATTCAAATTCTGTATTAACATGTGATTCTGTGTTAAAATATATTAATCTAGGGACAAGAAGAAATAACTTCATCCATGCACTAAGCAAAATTGATCAACAAGAGTGAACTGTGTTTGCTTAGCCTGGAGAACATCTGGGGGAGGGAACCTAATAGTAGCCTTCCAGTACCTCCAAGAAAGTCATAAAGAAACTGAGACAGACTCTTCACAGCAGTCTGTAGTGGAAGGATAAAATATAGGCAGATACTGGAATACAAGTTATTCCGAGTGGATGTAAGGAAAAGCTTTTTCACTATACCAACAGTTGAGAAGCAGAACAGGCTGCCCAGAAGCTGTGCAGTCTCCAGCCTTGGAAACCTGAAACCAGACTTGATAAAGGCCTAAGCAGCCTGGTCTGACCTCAAACGGTCCCTCTATTAAGCAGAAGGTTTGGAGAGACACAGACCTCTTGAGGTTTCTAGTCCAACTTGAATTACCCTATGATCCTACAACAAGCTTCAAGTCTTGGATCTACTGTAATTCCTACAACAACTGAGATGAAACAGTAACAAATTAAGTGTTGACAGATGTTGCAATACATTTAGAGAGGGCCAGGCTTTTGACATGTGGACAATGAACCCAAGAAATAGGAGTAAGGGTTCAAACACGGATGCATTTTGTCTGAATGCATTCATCCTTTGAATCGTGTGCCACTAAAACATATGGAGTAAGACTGGAAGTGTGATATACACCACATGGAAACACGTTAAATGAAAAACAAGAGAACAACAGCTAAAGGACTGCACAGGGACACCAGTGATGACAGGACTCTAGAAATCAAAGCTTCTAGTATAATCTAGCTATGCCTATAGCACATCTCATGAGAGAAGACAGTGGTCCTCCTGAGTTGCTATACTGGTTGAGTGGGCTTAGCACAAACTATCACTGCCATCAGAGTAACAGATATCCTAATACCACACATCTAAAAAATTTAACCAGTTAGTATAAAACTTGACAAACTCTTTAATCTCCTAAGCAAAAGTGAAATTATTGTGTCTTGAAGCGGCATTTAAAGTTAGAACTGGTTGTTCTCCTCCGTATTGTCATCATATCTTATCACAACTAAAACCTTTCAGAGATTTCCACACACGAATAATTAGGTCTCTTAGAAGGCTGCAAGCAATACACTTACACCTATGGAATACTGTCTGGTTCTCTATGGATACAAAAAAAATTGCAATCCTATCTGAACAAGGGCCAGGAAAAGGAAGACTGCTGCATAATGTTACTGTATCACCAGTCAAGATGAGACTAACGTTTTACAGGAGTAATAATGAAAGCACCTAAAATTACTGAATGCTGTACATAATAAAAGCACTTCCAGGAATAAAAAACGATCTTACCTTATCTAGCCTTTTTTGCCAGCTTTCTTCACGTTTTACCATGAGTTCAATACAATGAGAGAGAGTAGCAAGGATGCCAGCAGTAGTTGCCTTGAAAGTTATAGCTTCTCCTTTGAAGTCTATGCCATTAATTCCTTTGGGTGTCACATGCGGAAACACTGAAAACAAGCATGAATCATTCACTGATGGCTGCCTTTAACTCAAACAAGCATTTTACATGTATGCTTATGTTTACAGCTGCTTGACAAAAACAGACCGGAGAGAAAGTTAATTTAAAAATAAAAATCAAAAGCGCTAATAATTTTCAGCTATCCGCAGGACAAGTAAAGAGATCCGAAAGGAAGAACACATCCCTTCAGCTCCCTCTCGCTATACTGTGTATTTCAAGCCCGCCTGTAATGCTGTATTACACTGCATTCTGCAAATCATGTGGGTGGAGGGAGTGGTAATACTTTGTAACAATAGCAGTTTGACAGCTTGAAGTGGGGCCTAATTAACACAGAGCAACCTTAAAACGGTATCTGATACAGCACTAGGAAAGGAAGGGTTTCAAAAATGCAGTAAGACCCAAAATGTAACATTTGAGGTTGGTCTAAGCAGGTAATTATAGATTTTAAAACCTCCAAGTAAAAAGGTACAAGATAAATGTATCAAACGCGTTGAATTACCAAAGTACAGTGGGTTTTGCAGTTCCAACAACTACTTCATGCTGTCAACCAAGCCATCTGTTGCTAAGGCTATTTAAACAAGTCACTTAAATGTGTGACAAAAAAAAGAGAACCCATTATATGTCAAACTCGTATGTAGGTTGACATAATAACAAATCAAACACTACACATTAATGTCAGAAAATATTAGAAAGCAGAAGTAACACCCATGCTGAAACCCAGCAAGTTAAAGTAACTCCTGCTACGCCACAGTGGAAGCTAATGACTTACCACCTAGCTAGTTATCACTTCCTTTTTGCCCCACTCTGTCAGTTTGCCACTGCTAGGGTTTAAAAAGTACGTGTAAATATTTGCGTAACTTTATCCAGTATCCCTCTCCGAGGGCAGAGCAGAGCTTTCAAGCAGCTCAGTTCTCGTAGGGAAGAGAAATGCAACTGCAGGGAGGTTTAGATTAGATGTCAGGAAGAAATTCTTCCCAGAGAGGGTGGTGAGGCACTGGAACAGGTTGCCCAGAGATGTTGTGGATGCCCCATCCCTGGATGTCTTCAAGGCCAGGCTGGATGAGGCTTTGAGCAACCTGGTCTAGTGCAAGGTGTCCCTGCCCATGGCAGGGGGGTTGGAACTAGATGATCTTTAAGGTCCCTTCCAACCCTAACCATTCTGTGATTCTATGCTGTTCTCTAATGGTAGAGCACAGTATCTGCACTTCGGGAACGCAGAGCAACTCTCACATGGTCTTCTTAAGCAATGGTTTAAGTCTCTGGAGGTTTTATACGCCCTCCTTTCAGAAAGAATCAAACTATTTTTCAAATAGATGATTACAGACTACGAACCACTTCAAACATCTCAGTAAGCATACATACTATGTTAAGTATGGCTTATTTTTTGTTTCATATTAATCGGGAACCCTCCCTAAAAGGTAAAGATGATGGGGGCTGGAGAAAAAAAAAAAAAAGGCAAGTAAGAGAAAGGAAAAATCTGTTTCAGAAACAATAATGAGCAGAGCAGCTCTCCCTCCCCCTAACAGCTGCAGAGGGAACACGGAGGAGGCTGAGATGGAAGGTGGTATCAGCCAGCAAGGAGGCAATGCAGTGGATTCACTGAGAATAATGAAAATTACACAAGAGCTTCACCCCTAACACTTCACGACCGAAAAAAAAAAGTACAGTTTATACTAATATTTTGTCCTGCTGTTGCAGGCTTACCAGCTATAATACCTATAGATGTGATTTTTCTCATGATTATGCAACATGCTAGACATGCTGAAGAAACTACCACTGGCTGCACCACTATAAAATCATTTCAGAAACCCCTATGGCAGATTGTAACGGAGATGCAGCAATGCAGGCTCATTTTCTGGAAAAAAGCCAGCTTTTGTTCCTGGGTATCTTTAGGTCTCACCTACTGCTCATTAATATTTCTATACAGTTTCAGTCATCATATATTCCAAATCATTCTTTACTGACTAGTCTCAAAGCAGTAGTGATACAAGCAGAGTTTGCAGTTTTGAAGTCAGCGTCCATAGTTCCTCTCAGGCACTGTAATTCTGCGCAAAACCTCCCTGAAAAGCAGGGAGGTTCTAAATCTAATCTAAACCTCCCTGAAAGCAGGGAGGTTTAGATTAGGTATCAGGAAGAAATTCTTCATGGAGAGGGTGGGGAGGCACTGGAACAGGTTGCCCAGAGAAGCTGTGGATGCCCCATCCCTGGAAGTGTTCAAGGCCAGGCTGGATGAGGCTTTGAGCAACCGGGTCTAGTGGAAGGTGTCCCTGCCCATGGCAGGGGGGTTGGAACTAGATGGTCTTTAACGTACCTTCCAACCTAAACCATTCTGTGATTCTATCAGCTCCCAGAGGGATGAAAACTGAAATTGTTGCAGAAAAACACAGAACCTCTTTCTTAGAAGAGATGGTCACTCAAGAGATTATTCCTTGCAATGGATGGGAGTATTTTGATTCATTCCTAATGACAGGAGACATTTGTCTTCCTAAAACATGTCCGAAGATGACCTTAAGCTGCATCTCAGTAACAGCTGAACTTTGGCACATTCGAAGTATTTGTCAGGAGATTTTCTATTTGGAGAACCTGAACATCTTTCCTATTACTTTTCTACATTTCCTCCCCCCCAACCAGGTACAAGATTTGGTGTTTCAAAATGAAATCTCATGTCTGGAAATCTATATGGTTCAAGGTAAAGGCTAGTAGGAGAGCATTCTTACCACTGCAACTGCTCTGTAAGTTTGGTGATCAAACTGTATGCAGCCAACTTAATAGCAGCAGGATCATTTTTCTCCTATTTTAACTTCCACTTCAACATCATCCAAGTGGGTCCTTTTAAATTATCCTGTCTTTTAAGCATTTTCCTTAATTTCTGATTTGTTTTCTTTTGCCTATTATATAAAGGATTCTTCATACCATGCTTTAGCTTTCAATAGCTCCTCTGCCCTTTTCCCCTACACCTCTGTTAGAACAGGTCAGTTCTCCCTTCCTGTTTTTAAGATTTGGCTCGTAACACTTTCCCAGATGTCCCAAATGTCACATATTTGATAAAATCAGTTTCTCAATGAAACAGAAAATCGTTCTGAAAACATGAAGTAGAAAGAACTTCCTTTATCTTTTCCATCTTATGTCAGTAAGTCTGAGCGAAAAAGAAGCGTTTGGGTGCATGATCCATTGATACCTACACCATTGTTGATCTCTGGTGGCTAGCAGTAGGATCAATATGGTTAGTTTTCCACTAAGAATGACCCCATTATTTCAGGATATGTTTGTGAATATTCTTCCTCCATTCAAAGCACAGAAATCCAGCATAAATCCCACTGGTTTACACCAAATTTCTTTCCTTCAGCCTCTGTATCATTTGTATCTCTATAGCTGCAGTACAAAACACCTTCTGTCCTCAAAGAAGGTCCTATTCTTACATATTTTAAAGCCAAATATGCTCATTTTCCTGAGTGGATGGATGGGAACACTTGCTAACCAAGCTTCTACATCCTTAGATTGCAGCATCTCAATGGGTAAATATGCAGCAGCTTTTGTTTTATAGACAGAAACACTGTTTCAGTTACCATATTTATTAATTAGAAAGTGACCAATAAATCTGAGTACCTTCATAGTTCTCTTCCTAGCTCTTCATTCCAAGATCCCAGAGTACACAGAAAAGAAAAAGCCTCCCTATCCAAAACATCACCTTCAGAGTAGTAAACGAATCTCTAAAGTCAGCTTTCTCCTTCCACCCAGGAAAGGTGCAAAGGGGAACAAATTTCAAGCCAGTGTGAATATGGTCCCTCAAGTCAGTCTTAAATGTAATGATTTGAGCATTAGATTGGTGCACCAGTGAACCCTTTAACATTCTTCTTTATCACAGTCGGCTAATAAGAGGTTAAATCCATGCTTCTCACTTCCTGGAGCACTGACTGCACAACAGCTCCAGAACAAACAGAAAACACTTTTCAGCTACAGTTAAAAAGATTGGTTCAGTTCTTCCAAGACGGGGTGGACACCCAAGAATGGAACCTGAAATTTGAGAAACCAAAGAATTCTAGCAACTGCTAGGAAGTTAAGCTTCACAAAAGAGTGAAGCTGAAGATATATCTTTCATTATCAGTTAACCTGAGCAGTTTTCTGCCCAATACATGGGCATGTGTGGGTGTGTCAACCTGAGACATGTACTTCCCCCACTGCATCACTTATGACTTATGATTCCACTTCAAGGCAGATTAATTTTTCATTTCTAATCAAGCTTTGCAGTTACTAAATATTTAACTGATTTAACCCTTACAAATCAAACTGAGACACAGAAAAACTACAATGGTGATAAAGCTTTACATAGACATAATTGATGTAAAATAGATTTAATGGAATCAGGAATCATAACCAGAACACCAAGTTCTGTGAACAGCAAGGGGGTGCAGAAATTTTCTCTAGTGAGCTATAGTAAGTGAGTTTATATACAGGTACCCGCAATACATAGCAATTTCTTAGCATGGAAGTCCCCAAAGACTTGATACAGAACTTTTAACAAGAGGAATATGGGCATCAATGCAAATTCCTGTTAAGCAGGTGATAAAAAAATGAAATCACTTAATTTGAATGTAAATGTTCTAAGCTGACCAGCTGTACTAAAAATACAGACTTTCCTAATGACACTCCCCATATCCTGTGTGTATATATAGCAGATACACCAGAACAATGTAGATATGAAGAAATGTTCCAATGGTAAATTAAGCTGAAACTCCTACATGATCCTACAAAAATTAAGTTTGACAAAAGACAACTTTTTCAAAATGAATCATGCAGTAAAATGAATTCTCATTTAACATTTTTAAAGAAGGTTTTTCCAGTTTTCTGGAATTTGTTCTTAGTCCCCAAAAATGTATACTTATACACAATAGGGTGAGTGGAATTGTGCACTTGATTACAGGTGAGCATTGCAAGCTTGCTTATCTTTGGTGATGACACAAGACAAGAAAGATTTATTCAAAACTTGAGTTACACGATACTTAACCTCCAAAACGAGCATTATGATTAATCCTTGGCAGAACAAGCACTTTATATAATTGAAAAAACCTACTCATATGAGGAATTCTGGAAGTATGCTGAAAGCTCCTTCCATTTCCTTTCTTCTTTCCTCTCAACAGTTTTGGCTATACTCTAGAAAAGCACTTAAATACAGCAAAGAAAGATGCAACCCATGGGGACAACAGCTAATTAAAAAGGAAACAGAAGACACCAGAAAGGCTTGTTTTGCCCATATATTTTCAAGGTTCTTGATGAAAAGTGTTTACATTTTTAGAAGCACTTTGGTGAGTATTTCTTTGGGAGATTCAATCAGATTTGAAACTGGAGGTAGCAAAACTTCAAAGTTTTGTGAATCAAAGTCAAAAAACCCCTTAGTCCTAACTGAATTGCCAATGTCTAGAGAATGTAAACACTAATGTATTTCAGTCAGGAAACTAGAGAAAGGCCAAGAAGAATACAAATAGATTTGAAATGCATGCACAACTTCTAGAAATCCGATACTTCTGGCCTGGCAGAATAGCAAAACTTGCACGAGTTCTTCACGTTTACTGCATGGATGCAGTGAGTACAATGACTAGGTAAATTAAAAATAAAAATCAGCAATCTGTTCATTATAACAATGGAAAACACAGTAAAAAACGTGCTAAAAATACGATTAGTGAAAATCAGCAAGTGTTGACTTAACCATTATGTAGCCACAGAATTCAGAAAAACAATACTGGGACGTACCTAGCAAAAAGCATTAGGAGTGTGTTGAAGCACAATGCAGGTAAGAACTGCAGTTACCTGTTATAAAACACAGTTCCCAGTATCTGAATGACGCAGCTGTGTCAACAGAATTTTGTAGTGAAAATGGCTTGGGACACAGAATAGGAAATTCCAGCTTGACAAGCTTGCATTAATACTTGCGTGAATTATGGTTAACTCAATCATGAAAAGCAACTAGGGAACGATAACGTAAGAACTTCCTGTCACATACGTTTAAGTAACTATTCTTGCCATTTTCTGCTAAGAATAAATACTCCTCTTGTATCAGGCTTATACCATTCATATGGATTTTCAGTGGATAAGTTGGGACACTTACGTTTTTCCTTACTGCTGTTACTGTTATGTAAAAAATCCCCATCAGAACGCATTGTCGGGAAATCATCTTCATCGCCTTCCACCACTAAATTTAAGAGAGAGTGTGTTAAGGGAGTGGAAAAGCTTTTCCAATTCTTTGGTGAACAAGAAAAAATTAAGAGCATCTTCATGGATAAGCAGCATTTAAGACTTTTTCATACAACAGTCATGAACCTCCTCTTTCTTTATTTGAGACCACTATCAACATTACTATCCAAAACGATCAGGACAGTAACATTTGCTCAGTGCTAAAGTTTAGTACTCTGTTCTGTGCCAAGAACAACATTATTTTGGTGTTACAATTGGACAAGCAGGGAGCCATGATTCAGCAACTATCTATCCTTCTACACCATAAAGTTTGCAGAAGAGTGGAACTCTACTTACCTACTGTTTTCTTACTACCAAAAGTTTCAGGCTGCCAGGACAAAGCCAAGGATGGATATAAATGCCTCAGGAAGAGTGCACAGATACAACAAGCTGTTCTCTGAGAAAACCAATTCAGAGATACAGAGATACCCACACCCGAGTCTACCAGGGCCCAAAGTGTGCACTCACTGCTCTAGTTCCAGCCAAGCCATCTCAGGAGCATTCATTACGGCAGCACCCTTTCCTTTTTTAAATGATGTATTGTTTCTATCAAAATTATTATCCTATGGGTTTTTCAAAATAAAAGAGACCACGATAAACTAACCTGAATTCAACTTAGGAGGGTGAACAATTATTGTTCTGCGACATCAAATGCTTAGAAGACCGTTTCTTTTGTACAGTTGACAGCTACAGGTTAATACTAAGTTAATCAGATTTTTATGGGAAACCAACTTCTGAAGTCAAAATAGTTAACACTTTATGCAACCTCTCATTGACTCACACACTGAAGACAAATTTATGACATGTATTTTATTTATATGCCATCAAATGCTACAGTAACTATTTCAAGGGCTATTACTCTGTAAAAAGTTAAATTCTGTGGAGAGAAGACTTTTCAGTTACACTTTTACCTTTATCCCTCTGGAGTTCATCTTTGGAAACAGCATCTGCACATGCATCAAAGTATTTCTGTAGAGTATCAACTTGTCTACACAAGATGTCTCTAAAGGTTTCCATTTCTGCAAGCTTCTCACGCAAGCTATGACCCTTCTGAAAATGCAAGAGAAGAAATCCTGAAATGCTTACATACTCAGTAGTGGTTCAATACATAAAGAGATTTCTGCAGCTATTAAGAACAAAGTACATTAGATAACAGCAGGTATGAAATACTGTTCATGTCAGAAGAACGCAAGAAACTAACAGGTGTTCCTCACTCATTTTGTCCACTGGTCTCAATGCTTCCTCTTGACTCTATCTGCTACGTTATTCAACAAAAGCTTATTAAAAATGAGCTCTTGCATGCTACCAACTTAATGCCTATTTGATGGAAAACAGTCAGCTCTATTTTAAGATCTTTTTTCTGATCTTTAATCCCCTTTCTTGTGTTGCTCTTCTGTTCTCTCAGAACGACAGTCCACCTGAGTTTGTAGGTTGAATATTTACACACAAGACAAGGAAAGCCATAATTTACCAATATTAATCAAATTTATTAAGTCACATAATCAGCATTCCTTTTCATTTAGAATGTAGGAAATGTTAATAAAAGCTCTCACAGGTTTGACTTTCTTGCAGTTGGAAGATGACACCATAGTTTAGAAGGGACAACTGCACAATTGCACAAGAAAACTTCCTGTATGATGTGTTTGTCATACGATGAATTACTAATACTTACAGTAAAGTATTTTGTATTTTTTATGTAATTATGTGAATGTGCCTAGACATAAATGATTTCTTTTCCAGTTGCACGTTATATATTCTAATATAATACTAAGAAAACTTTATCACTAACCTTGAACGAAGAGGTGGATGTCGCAGAGTATCCACTTGCTCCAGAAACAAGAGACACCATGGAGCCATGGCGGCGTAAACTTGACTCTGATCCATAGCCAGATTCAGTCTAAAAAACAAACCACACACAAAACTAGAGTGCTAAGGCTCTTTAAATAAAAAAGAAATCATGAAAGCAAGGTTAATGTAATTTCCTCTAACACCATTTGTTTCTTGTCAAGAAGCAGCCGGCTTAATAACTCAAACTGTGCCTGAATATTTAAGATGTTGATGCAACATCTGTAAAGTTACTATGAATCTATTTTTTGTTACCATAAAGACCTGCAAAAAAAAAATTAGTTACCTACAACATATATTTAAGGGTTCAAAAAAGAGACAGTGTTCCATTATTTTGGTTTATGTAACCCCTACCAAGCAATTTTTACATAGCATTCAAAAAATCTACAGTACTCTACACTTAATCACGGGATTAACACAGTTCAGTCTGAGGACAATCAGCCTCAGTCAATCCTTCCAATCAAACAGTGCCATTTTATTTCTAAAATCAACAGAGATCATAGAAAAACAGACAATTACTGCTTGCAAAGGTTTTTTGCTTGTTCCAGGCTTCTTGAGCAGAATTCTTTATAATAGACCCAAATTATTTTTTTACCAAGGAAAAAGCCTACATAAAACAAGGTGAGATACTAAAGGACAGCAATAATAGTAACCAATTAAATAATTAAAAACAAGCAAAACCTCTGCATTAAAGTAACATTAAGAAGATCTAAAAAACAAGTTTGACAAATTTCCTCACAAATCAAACAGAAGCAGATACTGAGGAGCTGGAAGAAAAGTATTTCCCTGAAGGGTAAAATAAATAGCCTGTGCATGACAGAGGAGGAAAACCCTGGAAGAGAACTTAAGAAATAAACAGATGGCTCAGTAGTATTTGAAACACTGTTAACAGATCAGCCTGATCAAGCAAACAGTGACAACACTGTGAAGGACTTCTGACAGAAATAAATTCTGCAATAGCACAGAAATTCGGATGGGGCATAAAGGGAGACAAACCAAATGATACAGAAGAAACAAGAAGCAACAAAGCCATTTTAACTGTTGTGCTTTTTATAGAAAAACTGGAAACTCTGTAGACTTTGGGAAGGCAGGAGAGTGCTGATAAATTAAGATGCAAATGGAAGTAAGAGTATAAAACCAAGGAGGAAGGACAAAAAGTTCTTTGAAGCGTTGGTTAAAACAGGAGGATTTGGACAATGGTGCAGTGCGCAGGACAAATGTATGTATGCTTGGATTACAAAGGAGCAGTGGCAGAGAAATGCATTTTAGAGAAATGAAGGTATGACTGAAAAGAAAAAAAATGTGAGTTCCAGAGTTGTCAACACAGTTCCTGAATGAACAACATTACCCAGCAAAACCAAGCAAGAAAGAGCCAAGAGGCAATGTGTATCTAGCCCATTTAAAGAATGAGGTGGAAGACAAGAAAACGTTGAGGAAGCAGAAGAGAAACAGGGTGTGTATCAAAAGCGAAGCAAAGCTGAAAAATAAGTAAGACCAAGAAATGCAAGTGTAGGTAGAAAAAAAGTACTCCCAGAAGTTTGGGTGACTAAGTGATCATCAATTTAAAATAAAAAAGGGCACTTGTAAATTCAAAATATTTAATAAGGCACATCTTCAGTTCATTGCTTAATTTAGAAAAAAATTAGTAATACTGCAATTCATCTGAACAAGCAGAAACACAAGTATATGTTTGATGATAGTGTAGAGTGAAATGGCAGAATGCAAGACAAGGTATCTATTTTTCTAGGACTCCTGCTCACGACAAAATAGATTCAAATGCCTGATTTGTAGCAGAAATTACTAAATTATTAGTACATTATTATAGTGTGACTTAATAAGGAAACTAAGTGTAGCAACCAAAGGGCTAAAAAGCTCCAAATTTTAAGAACCAGTCTTACTATATATTTTAAAGCTTGGCTTAAAAAAAAAGAAAAATCTACTGGAATAGGCTTTTTGTCAAAAACATTCACATTGGATACATAGGGCTTTTTCAGAATATCAGTTCAAGTGTTAAGCAGCATGCCTGCTTTGGTAATGTATTTGGGGTATCAGACCACATTTTGAATTGCAATAGAATTCAGTGCAAAGATTATACCTTAATTCACTAGGTTATAATTTTAAACATAACAAATCAAATAATGTAGCTTTGATTACTTTTTTTTTTTTAATACTCAAGGAAGAGTCCGTAAAAAGAGCCGAAAGTCCTAAGTCCTCCAGAGGCTTAAGAAACAGGTAAGGGAACAAAAGAATTTTGAAAAGGACAAGTGAGAGTTTTAGGCACAAAATTATTTAATTTCAGAAAAGTTTGATGAGTGTAAGCCTCAAAAAAGCATTGCATAAGAGTCACACAACTCTTTGAAGCATGAAGTGCCTTTTCCTTAAATGCAAATCTAAAAAAAATTCCACTGTTTTGCTGATAACTGCAGTGTTTATTTAATCCTATGCTACAAATATTAAGATGACTATATGTGCTTTTACTACAGTCTGTTTGACAGTGGGGACTCATGCTATTTTTTCTGTAAGCTGAGTACACTAGAAAGAATCCTGTATTTCATTTCAATACTACATGACTTAATGAGCAAATCAGTTTGAAGATGCAGCCAAAACACCCATCACACTGAGTCCAGAACATTTTAACTAAGAACAGCAAATACCTTAGTCCTGCTTTCTCCTTTAAGTGAGAGACACACCTAAGAAAAACCTGGATTTAAGCTTAGGAAGTGAAATTTCTGAATTTCTATTTGGAAGGTTTAAAGTTACATCTTAACAGTGTTACTCCAGAACTTACAAGGATAGATGTGATCTTGTAGGAAACTCTGAGACATAATCTACATTTGAATGAAATAATTTTCTTCCAATATTACGCATACAGTCAACCCTCAGTTAATTTAGTTCACAGAACAAAAGCTGAGGGTGAAAGAAAAACAACTTTTCGTATCAAATGTAAGCTTGATTTTTTTTTTAAGGTACCTTTTCAGTAGTATATTTGATGGTGATTAATAATTCCACTAATCAGTTTATTCACGCTTCAGAATTCTATGAGACAGCATATACACCTATCAGATGTACACAGCTATCACCTTGCAAATGCTACCAATAAAAAAAGTGGTACATACAAAGCATTCAGACAGTTTTAAGTATTTGCAACCGAGGAGCATATTCAGCAGATGGAACAGCAGACAAAACAGCACGCTACACGAATCCAAAGCATGTGCACTTACAGATCACGTTCACAACAGTCTCAGACAATCACGTTTTAATAGCCAAGGGAAAAAAAAAAGAAAATTACATCAAGAATACTCATTTGTCAGAAGAAACAGAAAACAAGAATTCCGCAGACATGCACCCAGCTCACAGCAGACACATGCAAGCACCTTAGCACAAACAATGAAAGCATGCACCATGCAAAGCCCCACCATTCTACTACCGCAACATCTAAACGAGAGCAGGTCACTGCCGCATTTATGTCTTGCAAAGCAGATCATCATTAACTTATCACTGCAGAAATAGTCAAATTACATTAGGAGGAATGCTGACACAAGCTTCTTCTGTTCACGCATCTTTTGATTTCCCAAGATAAAAATTGGAAAAGCAGATAGAGTCCATGATAGAAGCAAACAGTCTCTGCTTAAAAACAAAATAATTTGCAGAAGTAGTATCAATTCATACCATCAAGCACCAATGCTAAATTACCATGCTCAGTATACAGATGTGGTTCTTCGAAATTCCATGCATATATCATAGCTTCAAACCTACACAAACACTCGCATTTGTTAGTACACTGCAACACCTTCAGCTTTCTACGGCGGTGCACAAAATCCATTAATCCATTCAAAATGCTTTCTCGTTACGATCGACAAGATGAAAGAGCCACACGATTCAAAGCTTTATGTGATTCTTTACTGGAGCAGGTGCTGGTGTCAGCAGCAATGCAGTTAAGTCAGAAAAGCTGCTTTCAGTAAAACAGCTAAGTATTCACAGAATCATACTGCAGACCTCCATTACAGCTTGCCACTGAACCACCAGTTACAGATTTCCTAAAGTGGGTCAGTAATACTCATGAGTAAAGCACAGACTCACGGGAAAGCTCTTCCACTTAAAAAAAAATTCAAATAAAGCAGATTATTCTCCCATGTCTTCAAGGAACTATTTTCATTAGGTCCCAGCTGAGTGCCTGCCAAGCACTTCAATGTATGTTTGCACACCAAAGCAGGTATTTTCAGTCAGCATTATAAATTATTTATTATTTTACATAACACAAGCAGCAGGCAGCTCCTCCCTCTAAGGCATATGGCTCACCCTAGGAGGCAATGAAACAGACATCAGGATACAACTCTAATCATGTTCTCTGCAGTATTTGTGAAAAATCCTACTAAAACATCCAAGAGATCAAACCATAGTATCTTACCAAAAACAGAATATAGAAAAAAAAGAAGTAAAAATGCAAAATTGAAGAGCTGGAAGCTACTATGAAAGACTAAGCAGACAAGCTCTGTAAAACATCTGTGTTCCACGGACAATTTTTAAGTGTGCTGCAAATGTTTCAACATATGCTTGAACAAAGAAGGGTTCCTGCTGGGATGAGACAAGGGCGGGCTACCCAGGGATGGCTGCAGACAGCAAGAACACCACAGAGGCTAGAGGTAGGGCAGTCCAGGATGCACTGCTGAGGATTGAAGTTAAGGATACAATTCACATGTGTCTGTAGGTCTGATTTTTCAATCGTTCAACAGTCACTGATAACGGAAATCTAAGGTTTCAAAAACAAGGTAGTGTTAGCAGGAAGGCAGAGATAGGAAATTCACAAGCCAGGTCACAGCAGGTGGATGATGATTCCCCTGCCTACAGCCCTCCCAAGCACACTGTAGGAGACTACTTAGAAACCAAAAAGGCTTCTAACATGACCTTTGCAACAGGTAAAGAAATGCAGGCATGTTTTTTTGCTCCAACAGTGATAAATGTTGCAATTCCATAGTAAATAAGCATATTATAAGCACAGGAGAAAAAAAAAAAAAGATTTCTGAGTTGAAAAATACTTAAGACAACTGAAAA